CTATTTTTAAAAGCAAAGCAGCTTACATTTTGCTACACTACTTCTATTTGACTTACATGGGAATACATTAATTGCATGTAATATGCTTGGAATGTGTGGAAAAAAACATTTTTTCCATGTGAGTCAGCACAGGAAATGAACTGCAAATGAGTAAAATGTTGAGAAGTCTACGGATGGAGTTTTTTTAAAAATACACAATGTTTTTCAAGAGTTGAGTACTGACATCATGTTTTCTTCAAGAGTAAAGTATCACAGAGATGACTGATGATACACCAGAGACTGATGAAGAGCAAGAACTTGCTTCTGATCAGCATAGTTTAAGACTCTAACCTGATGCAACATTAATTTAATAGTTTCTATCTTTGCTGGTGCCACGCAGTTTTGCCTCCCCTTATTGGAAATTGCCAAAGCTTACCACATCCTTGCTAAACACAGAAAATGGTAGATAACACAAAGCAAACTCAGAGATGTTCTGACTTGATTTTCTTTTCACAGTGATTTAAAATAAACAAACCAGTGTCTTCTAAATAATCATCTAGTGATACCTTCCACAAGATACTTTGATTTTCAGAATACTACTACTAAGTACAGCAAATGAAAGGGTTTCTAGGAGTCATACTGTGAGAAGATGTTCATGGGTGGATATATTTAGGAAAATACGTAACCCACCATGGAGCTGAAAACTCACTCCTATACTAACCAACATTTGGAGGTCACAGCAGCAGAACAGTGAGCGGCAGAAAGGAGTGCAGAGTCTGCTCCAACATACTATTGATTTGCTCTGAAATTACGTGAATTATTACTGTTGACTTCAGTATAAGAACTGATGATTGCATTGGAGTACTTGATGCTGCAAGAAGGCCCTATCAATGTAAAATGCATCCTCCATGCTCTCCTCAGAGCTCCCTTGAATCTGAAATTTTCTCCCTTTTTTCATTTGGCAGAAAACTACTGCTTCTATATAAAATTTTCCTTCTGCTTACCGAGATGGAACTTTAGCCCCAGTCTAGTACAGTTAGGAACACTTTGACTCCTGTCTTTAATTTGAGGTATGAAGCACACTATTAATACTGCTTTTTCTTTTTTGAAATCAAACCAATAAACGGAGTTTCTTTTGAATACGTTGCATTGCACTCTGGGATGCAAGAAAAGCATTTGAATGAGTAAGTTTGCATTATACTGATCCTAGCAAATACCTTCCTCTGAATGCTGAAACCAATTACATGTATTTGGCCTTCATCTTATGACTTGTACTTCTGTCAAATGAACAAACAGGCACACGTGCTATATCCCAATGGCAACATTTGGCTCATAGGGCCTAACAATCAAGGAGAGACAATGCGCATATTTTTTGTAGGAAGACAATGTTTCATGTTCCTTTGCTTTAATTTTGCTGTGAAAAGAGCAGCACAGGGAGCCTGCTGCCTCTGCTCTGAGTCTCCTGTTCACTCTGAAGCTACAGACAGATTTCTGCCATGCTAGTGAGACTGAAGCACATACTGCATGTTCATGCTATGCACAGTTCCTCATGCTGCCCTGTACCAAACAGAGCTGCTTAGTTCATAGAACAGAGAGTCATTTAAGGTGAACCTAGAATCATTCTTGGTGGCAAAACTGAAACCATCTAAAGTCAAGCCAGGATTTTCCTGGACTCTTTCCCCCAGTCTTCAAAACATGTATCTGTCTTTGCCTTTATTCTCATCAATAAGGAATTTAAAGCCATAGACTTGTTACTCTCAAATGTCACTGCCCGTGAAAAATGCAAACAGAGAGAACAAATAGGCTCCGTGTTGCATGTAAATTCAGAGTCTCTGCACAGAAGTGAATTTTTTTGAGTCTGCTTTGGGGAGCAGGCTTGACACGATTTCCTGAAAAGCTGCCTATTTTACTTCACCATCCCCATAACCAACAGTTGCATAACTTATGTGGATTAATTGAGCTGCAAACACTAACATCCAGCTCTCCCATGCTGCTTAAAACACAATACAGTGAAACCAGCCATGACTGCAGTAAGGATCAAAGAGAGAGGATTACAGGAATAGACTAGACGTCTGTCTATGAGAATCAGGGCATTTAGACTCTAAGGCATTATAAGGTAAAACTCTTAACATCTTTTCTGCCATACGTCCAAGCAAAGGTGAGCTGGAGGAGGTCAGAGCAATTCACCTGACTCAGCCTGCCACCAGACAATAGGTTGCATTAGCTTCTTCAGCAATTATCAAAGGCTTCTTTCTCTAATGAAATGGCTAAGATACAGAAGAGAAAAAGGAAGCCCCAGAGAATAGAAAAGAACAAAAAAAGTTCAGAAGGCAGGTGGAGTTAAAGCTGATATTTTGAAGCTTATAGCTATGCTTCAGGACTTTCCTATCCCAGGTGGGACACAGATTGCCCAGCAAAGCAAAAGGGCACGGGTGTTTAGGAATTGGAGTTACTTCCTGCAAAGTTTGCTGCCAGTAATAATCTGTCTTGAGCAGCAGTGTTTTGAAACAGTATGCTGAGTTGTGCAGATTTGTGATGATACTAATCTCCATGCAACTTCATGAGAAGCTGCCAGAAACGCAAAGGACTTATATTTGCAGTATGTATTTGTGAAACTAAGCTTTGATAGAATGTCCATCTGCATTACAGAAGGAGACAAGTTCTGGGCCTGCCTCCATACATAAAGTTATTTCAACTAACTGCCTACCTTCCAGACTTCCCTTCAATCTCTGGACTATGAACTTCCCTGATATTGATGCTTTACGCCTTCTCCCTTTGACCCGTTCACTTAAAGGAGAAAAAAAACCTTAAAAGACTGGAAAATAACATCAAAAATCTGGGATCAAAACTCCTGTGTTTCCATGGATTCAGTAGAGCTGTGGTACAGAGAGAATGAAATCAGGCCTCATACATTCAGTTCTCTAATTTATGCAAGCAGGATTGTCTTGCATCAGATTTAATGTTCTGCAGACAGCTGCCTTTTCCAAAGAGCATGGGTTCCCCATGCAAATGGGGGACACTAAGCACCCGCATGTGGAAAAGGAGGTAGCATTCTCTGAAAAGGGTTGAGCAATCCTATCAGCATCTTTCAAGAACTTACCATATTGTTATCTGAAAGGCAGTGACTTCCATGCCAAGGGACATGAGTTTATTACAGGAAGCTCAGCAAATTACAGACAACAGTTTGTACTCAGAGACGTGCACTGATGCAGGATGTTTTTCTGAGTACAATGGCGTTGCTGTTTCTTTGCCCTATTGTTTGCTGATCAGTGGTGGATGGGGAGTTCTATATGTTGCAAAATGTGTGAGAAATTGCTTTTGGATGGCCTTGCAGTTTCTGGGCCATCCCAGACAAGCCCCCACTGAAGAAGATAAGGACTTTAGCCCTTTTAGGTAACTTAGTTTAGAAGGATCCATGTGAATTACATCAAAATGTAAGCATAGATAATAGAAGCACTAATGAGCATTCTTTAGGATAAGATGTATCAAACATGCAGAAGATCACACCGCGCAGAATCATCCGAGAAGGGTCAAGTAGTGGACAAGTGCGGAAGACTATGGAAGACCACCAGAGACCTTCAATGTGCCTATGTAAAGGACATTTGCATATGCTAATAATTTCCCAGAAAACTAATGAATATGTGTAACATTTCTCAGCAATCTAGGGAATATGTATGTAGAACATGTACTTAACCTGCACAGTTAGGCCTGACGGTGTGCACGATAGGTGGAGCGATCCCCCGTGCAACCAGCACTGCAATAAAGAATGCCTGCTTTATAAAACTCCAAAATTGAGTCTTAGAGAGTTTCTTCGACCAGCTTTTCCAGTATCAGCACTACTTCTACATGAAGCTAAACCAGTGTTTTACTCCTTGTCCTGCCTAAAAACCTGTAAATGGTGTCACTCACTTTCACACTGGTACACTGCCACTGAATTTATTCCTGATCTGCTGTGTTGGAACAACTAGATGATAAGTAGCAAGAAGACCAAATCATGTGCATAACAAGCTAGCCACAGTGACGTGGATTTCTAGGACCAGACTTCTGAATAGCAACTCCTGCAGCTTCCCACAGTGGTGACCATGCATGGTCTACACCTCCAGCCACCTGCCACCACTTCTTTCCTGACTTCTCCTTGCACAGCACCATAGATAATCTGCAGCCTGAAGGCTGCGTGAAGGCTGGCTTTTTAGGCCTTCACACTGCTCTGAAAATCACCTTACAAGCAGGGCTCACTATGGAGTTTTCTCTGCACACTGAAGAGAATAATAAATTATTAGCTCCATCTGTCAGTCAGTCCCTGGCAGTAACCTACATACCCATGGACAGTTTCAGAGAGAAGACAGGGCAATCTTTCAAAGGTATAAAGTTTGTGTGAGGTTTTGTGAGTAGCAGGGATCAGGTAGAAGAATCCCAAGAAAGTCTGCAGCGTGAATTCAGCTGTTACTTGTTCTGTTGACCTGGTCTCCCAAAACACATGTCCTAGACAGCCAACATGCACTCACACACACAGCTTGGAGCCTACCACCCAGCTGAGTGTACTTCTTGCCCAATTGACACTTAGGAGAGATGCGAGGCAGCTGGAGGAGGTAGGCATAGTTGCCACAGCAAATAGGAACTGGGTGTACTGCAGGGTGTGGGGGCAGACACAAGGAGTGAGAGAGTTAGAATTACTGCTGTGGAAAAGGGTAAGAATAGCAGGCACAAGTCTCAAGGTGGATTTCGGCTGGTTTTAGTGTAACAGAATTTGTGCTTGGTGCTCAGTATAACCTGAATGAGAGAGGAATTTGACTCTAGCTGAAACCCTCACCTGTAATTTGTGATAACAGTATGTGTCCACAAGGCATGAGATCTGTCAACAAATATAGAACTTGTATTAGCCTGCAGCAGACATGACATAAGTCCAGCTCCTTTTTATGGGTATTCTCAGTTAGACATCTGGGCTCACGTAAGTTATGGAAAGGTCATCCTGCAAGTTCTAGCACAGACACCCACACAGATTTAAAAAAATCTTTTCTTACCAACAATCATGTGGTTGCAGACATCGCAGAAGGTGGGTTTTTTGAAGATGTGCTCCTGGAAGATGTGAGCCTTGCTGTTTTCTGGCAGCTGCTGGGCTCTCGTGGGGGAGGACGCCTGGCTCTCTGAGCTGGGGAGCTGCCCAGTGCTTGTGCTCACCTCAGGCATCAAGTCTACCTGCAGTTTCACATCGCTATTAGTCCTCTGGAAGAAATTGTCAGCGCTTTTACTCCGCAAGCTTTTGGTCTTGAAGGAGAGTGATCGTTTCAGTTTCTGCAGCTGCAACAAATAAGCCAGTTACAATTACTGCCTTTTGCTCTTCCACAGGAAGGCAAAGCTCCTGGTTTTGGGGTGTGCTGTTGACAAGTGAACCTGTGAGCCACAGGTAGACCCTGAACCACCTGAACTATAAAATCGACTTTAGAATTTAACCAGCAATTTCAGAGCAAAGAAAACTTATCCCATTCAGAAAATAAACTACTTTACATATGCTTTCTGATTGATAGACAATAAACTTGATAGCCCTGATGAATCCTTCTATTGGTCTTTTCTTTCAGGTATGACAGCAAAGAGGTACTGCAGATAGTTGTATGCGTTGGAGAATATATCCTTTGTATTCAAGCATGGGAGAACTTAGAGTATTATTTGTCCTTACATGGTCCTTAAGCAGCCTGTAAAGCCATTTCAGGAACAGCTGTTAAACAGCAGTACAAGAGGAGTGAATTCAGTAAATATATTTGATATACTTAAATTTCTTGAATTTGGCAGAAACAGAGAATATATGCAGTTTTGGCTGAGAAAGCCTTGTTTTCTTTTATTTTTTTAAAGGAAAGTAACCTAAGGAGCAGTAACAGTATAATTAACTAGCCAATTGATAGTTAATGCATTAATTAATACTCGTTAACACACATTCACATATAATCTTGTATATTGTATTGTGTATTGATTGTCAGACTATTAAGCACCAAAATAAGGCATTATTAACTTAAATTATTAACTCAGATTCTTTACCTGTAAACTGTCTTGTGCCTTGTAAGAGGTCTTCTCATTCTTCTCCCCCCCAATTTTATATAAGGCCGAGAAGGGTGCTAGGTGAGGCACAGAAGCTATAGGGATACCAGCTACATAAATTTGCAGGGTTTGTCAACTCCCAGTGGCCCACAGGTAGAGCACAGGTAAAAGGAAAGCCAGCTCTGCGTCCACTTCATATTTGCTGTCTCTGAAGTGTAATTCCTCCGTATCACCTTTCTCTCAGCATTATTCCAACCACTGCAAAATCATTTCAATCACTGCTGCAATTCTCTGGGCGAATGTGATGTAACAACTAAAATTTTCCATGCTGCTCAGGCTGTCTGTGGTAACCAGCAGGAATGGTTTATATTAGAAACTGTTTATGTTAGAAGCAATGAAGATCAGGAATCATGAATCACACTAATATAAAGGGAAGGAGTTCACATACTTTCCCAAAGAAGCATGGCACTGATCTGTCACACTGACTTCGTGGCCTCGGAGCGCTTCTCTCCCTAGATTCTATTCCTGATCCATCCATTTTCTTTACGATGCAGCCAAAAGCATGCTGTCGGAGAGGAGCCTCAAGGCATCCCGGGGGGAAGCCTCTTCTCCGCCTTCAGACATGAGCAGCTTGTCCCTGGAAAAGGGAGATGCTCCAGCTCTCTTCCACATGTTTCACAACAAACTCCCCGAGTCCAATGAACAGGGAAAGAGCTGCCGTTGCCTCTGGTTAAGAGTGTTTGGGTTTTCTACATGGAAGCAAACTGCATTCTGCTCCCTGAGCTGTTTCTCCACAGTGACTTTGGGAGCAGGGAGGGATTGGAGACAGGGGCCCATCCCACATGCACCACTCTCACCCATGACTCTCTCTGGGCTCATGGGAGGAGCCCTGGATGCAAATGAAGGAAATACCTGTTTGCAAGAAACATTCAGTCTCTGGGGGAATGTGGAAATAAGAGCAATTAAGTCATTAAATGCCAACTACAAGGTAAGAGCAGTTTCTGGTTTCTGAAGCTCTTTCAGCTGAAGCCTAAGCCATAGACTAGCTGAGGCCAAAACTCGCTGTACAACTGCACCAACAAAATGTGAGATCCTCCCTCTTCTGATTCGATGTTAAGTCACCAGCTCCTGAAATCACTGAGGTTACTCAGTACTGAGATTACTTCATCTCCCTGGTGACAGCCAGGAACTCGGCAATAATTCACCCCCTTGCTCCTGAAATGCTTCTCACTGAAGTCAGACCTAATTAGTGTAGCAAAACACAGCGAATTACAACACCATAAGGTGACTGAAATGGCATTCATTATTGATTTGCCATCCATTTCTACAGTGCCACATGAAGTAAATTATATTTCGAAATGCTGCTTCTGCCACAGAAAGAAGACTAAGCTGTGCAATACGGTATTTTTTTAATCATGAAACAACTGTCCTGCTAGTTTGGACAATGTATGCAGTATATTTTAAGGAGCTCTGCATTCACTATCCTTATCCCGTTCTCTTGTGCACAGTCATTTGCCAGTCAAGGGATGTACCAGCAGCCTTTCCTTCCCCAGGCAGAAAAGTCAACAGTTTTCCAAAGAAGGGCAGTCCAGCATTCAGGCTATGCATGTCCAAACATATGCATACACCCTAAGGTGAGCATGCAACTGTGCATACTCCGTCCATCTCCAACCACAATGTTCAGACCAGGACACATATTCAAGAATGAGTTGACCAAGTTACATTCACAGATTTGGTAGGCACCTCTGCACAAGCTAATAGTCCTCTCTGAGATTCCCTGAGCACTGTCCTATGTCAATGTAGTTAAATAATTTCCAGACAAGGTGGGCATCCTTGTCAATACCCAAATGCAGATTTCATACTCATTTGCATTCAGGATGGAAGACACCTACTTGTTTGGCTTGCATTGCATACCTAAACCACCAATAAAAGCCTGCAGCTATTATATCCCAAATAGGTTACGTGAGTACAGAAGTGACTATGCAAAAAATGCAGAACATAGTCAACGTTCAGCATTTTGCACAGCTAAATATACACTTTGCTCAGTACTGTTGAAAAGTACCTCTCAGAACAGTGTTTTACTCCCTTCTTGCATAAGTGAGAGTATACAGGGCAATAGAAGATTGGCACCAGGTTTTAAAATTTGATCCAACTTTCCTTTCTCATACTAGGCCCATGAGAGAATTTGAAATATGGTACTGGTATGTGATTATTTACTCAGGAAAAGTTGGCCCAAGCAAGGGCAGGTTGTTGTATAGATAGTATAAATTATAAAACCATAAAAGCTTAAGTGATTGTTATGCTACAGTCAAGTGAGCATCACTTCCCTTACTTAAATATCACCATCTCCTCATTTTGAAGTTTGCTGTGGCCTAGCCCTGTTCTTTTATTGGGAGATTTCAAATGTAATTAAACACATATATACATGTGTTACAGGCATGTAATACGTGCCTAATTTTGATCTGCCATAAGCTGATTTAATGCACTTGTGATGCCACTGGCTCCTAACAGAGCTGCTATAGCATTCACCCGAGGCAGGAATCAGCTCTTTCAATAGAAAGGAAAGTATGCAGATTTTACTATTTATAATTTCTTTCTGCAGAGTGAATGAGTCCAAAGCTAAATCTTAGGAAGAAATACTACCAAACTTTGGAAAAACCTGCAACTAGGTTTGCTCTGCACTCAATACTTACTTCAACACTTCAATGAAACATCATGAATTGGGACTGAAAAAAACCCTAAACCAAGCACAAAAAGGCTTTAAGAAACGTATTTGAGATAAATCTCTTAAGCCTTTCACATTTTCTCCTTTGCAAGGAAGGCTACAAATTAGATTTCATTTGAATAAAAATAAAATTCCCACAAGCACAAGAGTTTTTCTAGACCCATGATAGCATCACGAGACTTCACAACATTGACACTTCAGAAACATGAACCCTTGATATCAAATCCAGGATGTTCCTGTGGTTTGAAATTAGAGTCGGGGAAAAAAAGTTTGTCTCTAGTTAAAAGCATTTTATCAGTCACACAGACTCTCAGTGACCGCACATACTAACCCTGCAGGCAAGGTAGAGATAAGTGCAATAGCTCAACCTTAGAGCTTGATTAACCTTTTTTTTTCAGTATCTTCCAGCACAATCTCCATCTTCCTCTGAGTTAGTGAATGTTCAAGCTTCAAGGGATCTGGAAGCTCTGACGAAGCACAGCTTATCAGCACCTCCTCTATTCCTAATTGCCCTATTCCACAACTCTTGAGCTGCTGTAACTAGAAAACAGGAGGCAGCAAAAAGACAGCTATTGAAATTTATTCCTAGTGTTAACTAGGTGCCACTGCTTTTGATGTGAATGGGAATTACACCTGCCCTCACCAAGGCTTTATTTGACTTAAGCATTGGAAGCACACAACTCTTCTACAATTTTGGTTTAAGAACTTCCCATGGAAGTTGGGAAAATATTAGTGATTTGAGCAGTTTTATAATCTCTAGCTTTGCAATTACAAAAGGTAATTGTCCACCCTGCAAACAGTAATTTATTCAGGCTCCTAACTATTCCCTGCTATCTAGAAACTCTTTTTCCCTTGCCTCTCTAGCTTGTCTACAGTCAGCATGGCTCAGTAGGAGAGGAGCTGGAGAATGAAACAGGGGCTGTTGAGGACCCAGCATACACACCATATGCATTTCAGGGCACAGAGTACTCTGAACCAGACCACCCTGTCAGTCCTGGTGTGCATTAGGTGCACACCTGGAGCACAGGCAAAGCCCCAAGTGATGCAGCTTGTGCTCTATGTGCCACAACAAGGACCAAAGTGGGATGAGCAGCAACAACTGGGAGATGTGCTTTGAAACCACAATCCCAAATCAAACTGAAATGCCCTATGCCATCACCATTTCTCTAGCACAACTTCATCACACCTTCTCACCATTCAAAGCTCAGGGAAAGCCTCACTCCTTCCACCTCCTACACACAGATGCTTCATTCCCCTTCCTGAAGCTCCTTCCTTAGTGATCTCAGAGTGAATGGTGGTTACTAGGAGGACAAACTGTATATTATATTATATTATATTATATTATATTATATTATATTTTTTTATAATACATATTAGTTTGCTTGGGCCATCAGCTTTGGCATTCAGAGCAACCCTCATGCAGTCTGCCCACATCACCTTATTTCCCAACACGCTCGGTCTTGTTCCCTTCTCAGCCACTGCTAACCAGCCTTGCCAGCAGCAGAGACTCCTGTGCAGTGTGGGGCCAACAGGGAGATTATTT